GGTGTTGCTCTCTCTGTTAAGGAACAATATACATTCTTTATAAATCAAGATGGGATCAGAGGAGGGCCAAAACGAGGTATAGGTAATTCTCGCTATTCATGGCTTCAAATATTTGCGAATGCTGAACCCACATTTTAAATACATTTTATACACTTACAGGAGCTCCTCAGGAGCTCTGCCCTTGCTGCCGCTGGGCTCCCACCACCGGAGCCATGCCCCCCCTGGGGGCACTGCATTCATGAACAGCGCCTTATTCGCAGATTTCACCATTTGCGGGGAATACAAGATTGTATCCCCCAAGAATGGCAAGGGTTGCCTGTACTGTGGGTCAGGATACAAGGGGGTCAGGGGGGAAAGGGACTTGGTAGTGGGGGTCTACTATAAACTGCCACACCAGGAGGATGAGCTAGACCTGGAATTTTCCAGACAGCTCTCAGAGGCCGTATGGTCGAGAGATGTAGTTGCCATGGGCGACCTAAACTACGCTGACATGCTGGGAGGAGCAGTCAGCCAAATCTAACCGCTCACGTAGGTTCTTAACCTGCATACAGAACCTCCACCTAATGCAGGAGGTATACGATCCCACTAGGGGAAACGCCTTGCTAGACTTGGGGATGACTTGGTGGGGAATCTGCAGGTACAAGGTAACCTAGGGGATAGTGACCATCGATTGACTGAATTCACTATCCGGTGAAGGGTGGGCAAACTAAACAGCAGGGCTGAAGTGCTAGACTTCAGAAAGGCTAACTTCAGTGTGCTCAGGAGATTAGTTAGTGAGGTGTTAAAGCTGAAGAGCATGGGCGAAATGGGGCTCCAGGAAGGGTGGCCATTCCTCAAGGGAGTGGTCCTACGGGTGCAGGAGACAGTCCTATTGCACATAAAAAGGGGCAAAGGGGCCAAGAAGCCCTCTTGGCTGAACAGGGAAGTCCAGGAAAGCCTAAGGGCAAAGAAAGAGGCATACAGGTTATGGAAACAGGGGGTAACTACCAAGCAGGAGTATACATACCTCCCTGGCTCTCACTTGCAGGGAATCAGTTAGGAAGGCCAAAGCAGGATTAGAATATAGGCTGGCGAGAAAAATTAAGGACAACAAAAAGTCCTTCTTCAGGTATATAGGCAGCAAAACAAAGGGGCAGAGTCGCACAGGACCCCTACAGGACAAACTAGGGCAGTTGGTGACAGAGAGGGGGGACAAAGCTGATCTCTTCAATGAGTTCTTTGCATCTGTATTCCTAGATACGGACCAAGACAAATCTCCCAATTGGATCATAGACAGACACAGGAGGGACACCAGGCCACCAGCTGTTAGCGCAGACTTAGTGAAGGGACACTTGGAGGGGCTGGATGTGTTCAAATCAGCGGGCCCAGATGAACTTCATCCAAGGGTGCTGAAGGAATTGCCAGTGTCATAGCCAAACTACTGGCATGACTGTTCGAGCACTCATGGTGCTCTGGTCAGGTCCCAGAAGACTGGAAAGGGCCAATGTGGTCCCTATTTTCAAGAAGGGAAGGAGAGAGGAACCGGGAAGGTATAGGCCAGTTAGTGTCACCTCTATCCTTGGGAAAACATCATTAAAGATTACATTTGTGGGAGCCCAGCAGGGGAAATAATGCTGAAAGGAAATCGGAACAGATTCGTTGCAGGTAGATCCTGCCTAACTAACTTTGTTTCTTTTTATGACCAGGTCACAAAATGCTTAGACACAGGAGTCGAGGTAGATGTCATCTACCAAGGCTTTAAGAAGGCCTTTGATACAGTATCTCATTCTGTTCTTATAAATAAACTCACAGGCTGTGATGTAGATGATTATATAGTCAGGTGGGTGGCAAATTGGCTTAGGGGTCACACCCAGAGAGTGGTGGTAGATGGGTTGATATCAACCTGGAAAGACGTGGGCAGTGGAGTCCTAGAAGGCTCGGTCCTTGGACCAGTGCTATTCAATGTCTTCATCAGTGACTTGGACGAGGGCACGGAGAGCACACTGTCCAAGTTCACAGATGATACCAAATTATGGGGCAAAGTTAACACACCAGACAGTAGGGAATGGATCCAGGCAAATCTGGACAGGTTGGAAAAATGGGCAAAACGAAAAAGGGTACAGGTCAACAAAGACAAGTGCAAAGTGCTGTACCTGGGCAAAAAGAAGCACCAACACAGCAGCAGAAAAGGATCTTGGAGTCAGTTGACCCCAAGATGAACATGAGTTGTCAATGTGAGGAAGTGATCAACAAGGCTAACCGTACTTTATCATGCATTAGTAGATGCATGATGAATAGGTCCAGGGAGGTGATGCTTCCCCTCAATGCAGCACTGGTCAGGCCACAGTTGGAGTATTGTGTCCAGTTTTGGGCGCCACACTTCAAGAGGGATGCAGAGAATCGTGAGAGGGTTCAGAGGAGGCTACTCGTATGGTCAGAAGCCTGCAGGAAAGGCCATACAAGGAGAGACTGAGGGACCTAGAGCTCTTCAGCCCTCGCAAGAGAAGGCTAAGAGGTGATCTTGTGGCTACCTATAAATTCATCAGGGGAGGGCAGCAGGGAATAGGAGATGCTCTATTTACTAGGGCACCCCCTGGAGAAACTAGGAACAATGGCCACAAATTGACAGAGAGCAGATTTAGGTTGGACATTAGGAAGAACTTCTTCACAGTAAGGGTTACCCAAATCTGGAATGGGTTTCCAAGGGACGTGGTGCTCTCCCCTGCCTTGGGGGTCTTCAAAAGGAGACTGGACAAGCACCTGGCTGGGGTCATTTGACCCCAGAGCTCTTTCCTGCCCAAGGCAGAGTGGCGGACTCGATGACTTACTGAGGTCCCTTCCGACCATAACATGTATGAATAGCACTCCGAAAAGGTACTGCCATACAAATAAGCGATATTACAACATAAATCTTTTCCAACTTACCAGAGTTTGATCCTTCGGGTTTTTACTTGTATTACCTGGGTTTAAAAAACAAAGCAAAGCAGAAAGCCATTTAAAATGTGGACAGATGCCCCCTGTGGGGAATCTAAACCATATTAGAACACCTCCTGCAAAGACATCAAACCAAATGGAAGGCCGTAAAGAATGGCAAATTCTAAGTTTTCCTCTGGCTTTACTTGGAAAAGCATTGAATCAAACCAGACGTTTGTGATCCCTGGAGCAGGTTGCTGGAGTCCAGGTATGCACTTCCATGGAAATACAATCACTTCTGAAGCGTGAGACACTGTTTTGGGAAGACAAACCTGGGACAACCAGGAGGGAGACAAGACACCTGATCAAGTTCTGACCCTACAAGCATTGGAATATTTGGGACCGGTGCAGGCTGCATCTTTCCATGAACAGTCTCCCCATGAAGCAACTATGCAGTCATGTTAATGCATGCCACTTAACATGCAGAAGGACTGGAGGCTGAGTGAATCCTTCCAGGGTTAAAACATGGCATTCCAAGGAGTTCTAGTATATTGAGCAGAGGTGATGGCTACTCAGCTACCTCCTTGCCATAGGAAGCCCTTATAAACAGAAGCTTTAACACAAAGGCAAAGCCAAATGCTTGCACTCCTTACTGACTTCAAAGAGAATTTGAGCCCTCAGGATAGCAGGTCATAGTCCAGATTCTTCCTCGATTTTTTAAGTTTTTTTTTGGCGATGTAAGGCTTTATCCCATTTTGCCCTCTCCGCTCCCCAACAACAGGCCACACCTTTGGGATGACTCAACATCCCCCTGGCCACTGGATCCTGGAGGCAGCTTAGCAAGACCAGGAGCAGCAGGAGGCTGGGTAAGAAGGATTCATGTAAGAGCTTTCCATTCTGTTCAGGCTGCACTGACTTTGCAAGCACCACCCTATTTACTTGCCCCAAGGGAGCCTTCATTCTGAGCCTCCTGGGTGTGAGGAACAGTGGTGCCAGTGTATATCAGACTGTTCCTTCACATCTCCCTCCCCACAAACCCCACCGCCACAGGGAACACAGAATTGCGTTTCCAACCTGAATCCACGCTCATGACATCATCATCATCCTCGTCTGGAATTTCAATCACTTCCGTGGGCTTGGAAGACGAGTCCTCATCTTCAGAGCTGCTCTCACGATACTGAAGCCCCAGCTTGGAGTAGAGATCTTTTACCAGCACCTCACATTTATTGATGGCTCTGCAGTACAGCGGGAAAAAAGGAGGAAGCAGAGACAGATCCATGGTGAGTGCAGCTGTTATCTCTACAGTAATCACAAAAAGAAGAGACATTTTTGCATAGCAGCATCTGGGGCTACTCAGCAGCTGGTGCTCCCTTAAATCACTCAGCAGAAATAGGACATAGCCTCAATCATAACTGGAGATTCAAAGCCACGACAAAAAGATCTTAGCCATCCATCTCTGAGAGTTACGCATGTCGACAACTGAATACCGCACCACATGGTTCTTGAACCCCTCCTGGAAAAGTCTGGCTGCAGGAATACTGCCAAAAAAGTCAGCAGTAGAGCAGGAAATAGGAACTGGGGGTGCCTATATACGAGCAGTGAGGCTGCTCTGACATGCTGTAATTATAGCTCATCAGAGTAGACTGGATTGAGTCTGCTGGAGCATGGTAATTACTGCACTCCAGCAGCCTCCAGCATCTTGCGTATCCGTGTCCCCCCACTTAAAAATGGTGGCAGGGGCTCATTCAAGAAGTTTTAGATAAAGTGCTCTGCCACCATTTTTAAGCACAGGGACACTGATGTGCAAGATACTCTGGGCACTTTAATTAAAGCAACTCTTGTAGCCGCTCCACTTAAAGCGCCTCCCCCAAGCATGTGTATAAACGTCCTTTGGGTCCAGACACCCTAGTCCTTGCTCTGCCCATTCCGCCAGACACCAGCACAAAGCCGCCACTGCCCACCTTGAGGCGTCATCAAAGAGCTGGTCCACGTGAGCTACTTCTGCCTCTTTCTGCTTAACGTTCTTTTCCAGCTCTTCCAGCTGCTTCTTTCGCTGCTTCACGCACTCGAGTTTCTCCAGCTCCTCGTCAATGAACTGCTGGAGATCTTCCATGGAGATGCCCAGCTCCTCCATCACTTCCTGCTGCAGCTCTCCGATCTCCTGGGAATCCATTTCTGCTGAGAGTGAGGCCAGGAGGAGATAAGAGGCTCGTGAGCTTTCCAAACCACGTTGTACATTCTCTGATCTGCAGCTTTAGTATTTTTTTCTCTCTCTTGTATTGAGTACACCACACGGCCTCCTCAACTCACTCATGGGGAAGAGATAAGTGCTTCACTTAAAGCTATGAGCCTGGTTACCTGGACACCTTATTTAGGTGAAAACTGCCTGCCCTGGCAATGCTTGCTGCTGTGTGAAAGTGAACTGCTGCTCATTTCAACTTGACGGAACAAGCCATGAAGTCTGCTTTATGTTTACGGCATCCTTTCATCTACGAGAGACAGTGGATGCTGCAGCCTATGACGCAGATGGCTTGCAATGTCTCATGTGACTGAATAGTTCGATCTGGGATCTGCATGATCTGTGGCCAAGAAATCAAAACGTATCTAATGCCATTACACAGCACAATGCTTCTCTCCAGCCCAGGAGTTATGGAAGCTGCTTTGGAAACGGTGCCTGAGCACGTCACACAGGTGACAGCTCGGACTGCAGCACCTGGCGCCCCCGGAGCAGGTTGGAGTCCTATGGAGAAACACTGCGATTCGGTGCGGGCAGCACCTGGTAGCGCCAGCACAGCGGCCAGGGAGACGCCTACCACGGTGGGTGGGCAGACAAACAAGAGAGCTGGGAGCATGGCAGAAGTCGGTCCCAGCTTGGGCAGCGTCTCCCCTCCCTCTCCTCTGCCTCCTCGTTGTGTCCTCTCCACCCTCAGCAGCCCCTGCTCCCAGGGCCCTATTGCTCCCTTCAGTCCCTGGCTCCAAGCCCCGCCCCTGACCCTAGGCCCCGCCCCCTATTGTCCCTGACTGTCCCATACAGGCCCCTGGCTAAAGGCCCCGCCCTCAGCCCCGTTTCCGCTAACTGCCCCTACAGGCCCCTGGCCCCAAG